CACCGGAGAAGAGGAAGCAGTTTTTGCTCATAAAAGAGCTACGAGACCTCTCTTCTCTGCTACCCACAATTCAGCCATCTTGCTTCTCAGGACTTCCACAGGTAGTCTTGAGGAGCAAGCACCTTGGATTTCTATCTCTTTCCGTGAAGCTGCCCGGGGTTTTGCATTGGAAGAGGACACCACCATAGAGACCCAGGCTTAAGAGCCAGATCTCCAGAATGAACAAGGCTAAGTCATGATGACCCTGAGTTTCATAACTTACAGAGCAATGCACTGGAGGTGAAAGCCACCTAAAGAAGCTGTTCCCTAGGTACGAGACAAGTGGGACAAAGGACAACCCCCCACCCCCACCTGCTCTGAGCTTGCCCTGCTAAGCTGGAGGAAATTTTAACCTTCCAAAATGGACATGGACAAAGCTTGCAGGTCTGGCACAGATTCTAGTTGAACAATATATCTTTTGACGATTGTGATCATTTCATGCGCTTTCTGATGAGTAAAGACAAAGCTAACAGGATGGACTGCATGCTGCACTACAGTAATATGTTTTAAACTGTTGTTGAAACTTAGGGTTCAAAAACTGATAGAAGGTTAGCGTTCATGTATTTTCTCATATGTTCATTACATTATGATTACCAAATCAGGACCTAAAGTCATTTAATGGAATCTTCATGTCTATTTGCTGCCAGCTATTTCAAAGAAGCTACTGAATCATTTAACTAAAGGTTATTGGTTCTCGATTGAGCGAATTATTTAAAAAAACATTTGGCCAAAAAATGTTTTATTCACCTCATGGATTTGCATTGTGAATTGGTCTAAAAACATTCCAATTTATCTAAATTAGTGAAAAGCTAATTTGACCACATCCCAAATTTTTCCAGATAAACTTAGGTTTTCAAACACAAAATCCACCTTAAACTGTAATAGGGTTTTCAACCATGTTTCCCCTTCCTCTTTGTATATAGTAATTTAGTTTCACTAGTTTGAGTAAAGAGTTTTTAAAGCTACAGTGTGTAATTTTCAGCGACATCTAACGTCCAGACTGCAGACCGCAGCAACGTGAACATCTCCCCCCCACCGCTTCTCCCCCCCAACAGTACGGCAAGCGTTCTGGGACAAAATGTCTTCCACAACACCGCATCACCTACCTTCTCAAATGATGAGGTTTGTTTACATAGATAATTTTACAGATAGTATTTCATTAGTCTGTGTAGGGTATAGATTTCAGTACCGTCTCAGTTCAACTTGCCGTAGTTACTTTCGAGCGTAATGGGCGATTTCGCAATCGCTAGTTTGTTGGCTCTGCGCTGCCGTAGCGCAAAGATGTCTGCCTCCATGGCTGCGAGACCCGCTCCTATGTAATTATAAATAACGAATTCTAAGGCAACGCAAATATTAAGGTTAAGAGGCTGAGCTCGTAGATGATGATAAATAACATAGTTATGTATAATATATAACATTTCTGACTGTATATCCCTGTAATTATTACACACTGTAGCTTTAAATGAAATATTTTTGACTGCGAGTTGAATGACTTTGTTTATAAACTGTTAGATATTTAATTTATTCCATGTATGTGCAGAATTATCTGTTCGACCGTGATTTGAGCTTGATTCACACTTTCATGTGTTGTTCTAACACACAGCTAATAAGGCGTGTGATCATAAACAATATATGACAAGCTGAATAAAATCTGATTAAATAACACATTTGCCACCCCTACCAGGTTGGGCAATAAACATCTCAAAGTATCACACCAGTCACCCTGAGCTCCCACCTGATGAACAACATGGAGCGCCTCATTCTAGCCCACCTGTGCCCCGTGGTGAGCCCCACCCTGGACCTACAGCAGTTTGCTTACCGACGTGAGGATGCCATCATTTACCTGCTGCAGCGGGCGCTTACCCACCTGGAAACCACGAACAACGCGGTGAGAGTCAGGTTCTTTGATTTTTCCAGCACTTTCAACACCATGAGACCAGAGCTGCTGAGAGAGAAGCTACAGGATGCTGGGGTTGACGACATCTTGTTGCCTGGAGCATCAACTACCTCACCGCACGCCCTCAGTATGTGCAACGTTATGGTTGTCAGTCAGAGATTGGCAGTCTGCAGTGCTGTATATATAAATATCCTTCCATATAAATATCTGTGTAAACCACCTGTGCAATAACCCAGTATAATGATCCTACTATAAAAGAATTTCTTTTTTAAAAGCTGTCATATGTGGACGCACTGTATATACTGTATATATTGCATGCACCTTTTTCTTCCTTTGGCAGCTTCGTCTTTGACCATTTGAGCTGATGTCACAATTTCTCCACTGTGAGATCAATAAAGTCAAATCAATCAAACCGTTGCTTTAAAAGCTTTGCTGATTTACTGAAAGCCTCTTACTGTTAACAATGGGGGTTGCTTAAGGACCCAAATGCAGAGATGAGTGAAGCAGAGATGAGTTGTTTAGGCAGACATCCAAAAATGCAAAGAACCAAAAAAAAAAAAACAGAAAACATCAGAAAACTGATGGGGAACCAGCGAGGAGGAAGCAACTAACAACAACAACAAGGAACCAGCACTGAGTAATTGCAGAGGAGGTGTACTGTATATAATGGGAACAGAACAAAGAATGGGCTAATGAGATGAATATGGAGCCGGTGTGAGTGGTACTAACTAGAGCAGGGGTGGGCAGCTCCAGTCCTTGCAGGCCGTTTTCCTGCAACATTTAGATTAATCCTTGGTACACACCTGAATCAAATGATTGATTGACCTCCCCAGTATGCAATCAATTTCTCCAGAGTCCTTTTAATTATCTATTTACTTGATTCAGGTGCGTTAAGTCGTCAAGGACATATCTAAAAGTTGCAGGATACAGGCCTCCAGGACTGGAGTTGCCCATCCCTGACCTAGAGGGAAGCAAAGGGGAGCAACAGAGAATAACTAAAGACTGCTTGAAGATAATGAAAAATAAACCAAAGAACAAAACAGAATAACTAATAACTGAAAACTAAAAACACAGAGTCACAAAAGGGGAGAATCACAACACTTACATGAAATAAATGTTAGATTGGTTTTATTTATGGCAATTATTCAGGGTTCTAGTTTCCATTTAAACTAAAAAGGTTTGATCAGCTCAATGTCAGTAGGTAATTTAGTTTTGCGAGATTGTCTTTATTTTCAGAGGTAGGTGAATTTAAATTCATCACTTCGGCCCTGATGAGAAAGAGTCAGTCAGGTTCATATAGCCATAAGACCTTCATTAAACATAAAAAAAATTCCACCACATGTTAAAGAATGAATAATGAGGAAGGGTAAAAAGCGATTTCATTGCCTTGAGATATTTTTCAGATTTCGTGCGATGCAAGAAAATAGATCTGTTTAGGGGGGATTTCAAGCAAATATAAAGATGCAAAAACCTTTGTGTTGGTGCTGCACCCATATGCTAAAACTCTATAATTTGATACTTTGCTAAAGTAACTTTTTATTCAATTTCAGTATTCAGCATTCAACTCACAATTACTATCAGTTACAATGATCTAGTTAACCTGAAATAAACATTCATCTGTCTTTAAATGTTTGTTTTTATGTGTGCTTTTTTACTTCCTGTTCAGGCTAAGTATAAACAGAGATGACACCTCTGCTTGTCTTGGAAGCATTTCTCTTTTCTGTAGAACTTCTCAGAAAAGCTGTGAAGTGTTTTTGGTCAGTGGGTAATAAAATTGAACTAAATACATCTCTGAATATTGAGGAAGGGTGGAGAGGGATTTCATTGTTTTGACACATTTTTCCAATTTAATGCGACGCATCTCAAGTAAGGTGAAACGACAGGGGGAAAAATCTGTTTAGGGGGGATTTCAAGCAATTATAACCATGCAAAAACCTACATGTTGCTACAGCGCCCAAATGCTAAAACTCCCTATATGCTGATATTTTGCTAAAGTGACTTGTGATTAATTTTCAGTATTCAGATTTGAACTCACAATTACTATCAGTTACAATGATCTAGTTCACCTGAAATAAAGATCTATCCATCCATCTATCAATCCTCATATCTTTGTCTTCATGTGTGCTTTTTTACTTCCTGTTCATATAAACTGAGATAACACCTCTGCTTGTCTTGAAAGCATTTCTCATTTCTGCATGACTTCTCAGAAAAGCTGTGAGGTCTGTTAGGTTGCAGATATGTTTGCATGCTTTGAGATATTTGCTGTTTTACTGGTTCTCTACAGCTAACAAAGTGTTTGTTTTTAAAATTATGTTTTTTCATATATTTATTATGCACTGAATATGTTGCACCAGACATTTAACTTAAGGTTCATAGTTAAGTCGACATCAGAAAAGGGGAGCTAGAGCCTGCAGCATCTTTAAATAAATTTACATTTCTTCAAACTCATCTTTCAAATGTGATAATTTGCAACGTTTTCAATATGTACCACTAGACAACTTCTTTTTTTTGTACAACTGCTTTCAAAATAAGACACACTGTATTCGTCTTTTAGCAAAAGACCTTATACAGTATGTTACTTGACATTAATTTTGTTATTGGGGATAACTGTTCCCCAACAACGATAGTTATTTTGTTATTCTTTTACCTACTCCTTTTGAGTGTTACAAAAATGTCTTAACAGCTCAATGTAAATCTTGCTTGTCTTGTTGCTCGGAGAAATTGAAATAACATTTTTTTTTTTATCTGGACTTCATCTCCACTAAAAACAACCATTAAATCAGTCCTTGTTTCTTCTATGTCATTTAATGCAGATTTTTTTGGTTATATTTTCAACCTTAAATTTTTTGACTACTTTCATCATTTTATAACATATTTTATTTTGGGAAGCTCGGAGTTATAAAGTGCTTTTTGAATAAATAAATGATAATGAGGAATAAGTAACCAATCGCTGTTACTTAAGCTAATTATGCAATGTTATGAGTTGGACATTTCTTAATATGGTATTAAACAGAAAACTTTGGGTGTAGAAAGGTTAGCAGGGAAACTCCTCCTTCAGTTTGTTATTTATTAAAGGACATCTTAATAGAGAGGAAGTAGAAGTTGGGGTAACTTCACAAAAATAACAGAAATCTTCTGTCAGTTCCTGCCAAGTTGAACTCTCAGCTTTATTTCTGTAGTGGTAAGTAAAGATATTTTTTTTTTACATGGAAGTCTCAAATGTTGCCTGATGTCTTTTAAGTCGACAACCTAAAATATAAGATAAAATCGTCAAAATAAATTAAAAGTTACGACTCAAGCTTTTTAATTATAAAAAGAACAGAAGCAGATCAGAAATGTTTACTCAAGTGTAGGAGCTAAATACACAGTTTGCAAGTTATGCACACGTTTTTAAATCCTGTTGTGTTTACAGAGCACCGCTATTGGAGAAGCAGTTAACAACCGCATTCGAGAAAGGAAAGCAGTAAGTGTTCTAACTGGGAAATGCAAAACTCTTCTGGTGATATATATATATAAATTCAATTTATTTTGCAAAAATAAATTAATATGGTAAAAAAGACATACATCAGCTCCTTGTCATTATTATTGCAACTTCCATTCAGTCTGAACAAATCAAATCACTGATTGTCATTTCAGCAAAATGAAGTATTTGCATTTTAAACTTATTTTATTAGAATTTATAACATATTTCTTCTTATGTAGCAAAACCCCATATATTGTGTTTTAAAGGTAGAATTGTAAAAGTATACCGGTAACTACAATCCTATGTTTGAAACTAGTTTTAAATATAAGCCAAAATGTCTAAATTGATTATATTTACCGGAGCAAATTAATACCTCTTTTCATGTTTCTCTTATTCCAGCAGCAATGACCTCCTTCCCTTTATGCCTGTTTGTCTGCCTGATGATGGTCCAGGTCATTGTCGCTCCTGACCCAGAAGAACGCTATGCAGTGTTTCTTAAACAGCATGTTATTCAAGACATGAATAAGGACGACTGCTTAAAAGTGATAAAGAAAAGAAGAATAACAGATGGCAACGAACTTAAAGAAAAGAACTCATTTATCATTGCCACAGAAGATGAGGTCAAAGCCATTTGTAAGGACATTTCAGAAAAAACAAATCCCAGACACGAAAAAACACGAAGTAAAAAAAAATTCAAGGTTATTGTGTGTACGCTAAAAGGCGAGGAGTATGAGGGCATCTTGCATGATTACCAAACACTTGAAGTAAAATGTGATAAAAATTTACCTGTGCATTTTTACACACAGTTTCATTCCGGACAATAATTCCACTCCTCAAATATCTGAGAAAGCAGATATTATTCTATAATTTATGCCACAATACATCATATCCCTGTGGGCATTGTTATGATCCTTAAGCTTGATTAGTTTTCCTGACTTGGTACGCTTATCTGTTTCATTGCTTTTAAATCCCAAAAAAAAAAAAAAAAAAAAAAGATTTTTAACACAAATTTATTCAATAAAGACTTGAAAAACATCTCAGATTTGTTGTGTTAATATGTGTTTTATTCTACAGGTTGAGCACATATTTAAATCAGGCTTAATTTTTCAAAATGTATTATTTAATGATTTATGTAATTGTTTTAGATCCCCCTAAAGAGATTTATTTAGTTTCAGTTTAAAGGTTCCCAACATTCATCACATCAAAACAGAAAAATGTATCTAATTTAACTCTCATTATTATATTTAGCAAATTCCAATAATCCTGGTAAATCTAAAGCTGCTGAGCACGGTACAAATATTTCAATATTAGTGTTGAAAAAAAAAAAAAAAGGTTAAACAGAGTTATTCTAGTAATCTGATTCCCCACTAGCTGCATATAAATTTTTTTCATTCATATTTCTTGGTGTAAAAGTTTTTACTGACAGTGTGACTCAACATTCTTCTAGCAACCCTGCGACTGGACTGGTTTTGTTCCCATTTTCTTCATTAACTTATTGATACAATAACAGCGTCAGTAAAACATTAGGTATGTTGCTAATTAATCACTATTAATACACTAATTGCTTAGATCACAATGACAAATACTATGCATTAATGTTAAAGCCATATATTTAGGCATGATTTTCATTTAATGCAGCAGAAAACGTGCTTGAATAGAATTAAGATATCTTTCTGCTGGATACACTATAGTTATCTCAGTCATACTGTCCTCTCAATAATAACTTGGTAAACTTTTCTTGAAAAAACAAGTTAGACAAGAAGTGAAAGAGATATGCTTCTGCTTGGACATAGGTATACAGGTGCTGGTCATAAAATTAGAATATCATGAAAAAGTAGATTGATTTCAGTAATTCCATTTAAAAAGTGAAACTTATATATTATATTCATACATTACATACAAACTCATATATTTCAGATGTTTATTTTGTTTAATTTTGATGATTACAAATGACAACAAATGAAAATCTCAAATTCATCATATCAGAAAATTAGAATATTGTGAAAAGGTTCAAAATTGATGGCCCCTGGTGCCACACTCTAATCAGCTAATTAACTCAAACCACCTGCAAAAGCCTTTAAATGGTCTTTCAGTCTAGTTCTATAGGCTACACAATCATGGGGAAGACTGCTGACTTGACAGTTGTCCAAAAGACGACCATCGACACCTTGCACAAGGAGGGCAAGACACAAAAGGTCATCGCTAAAGATGCTGGCTGTTCACAGAGCTCAGTGTCCAAGCACATTAATAGAGAGGCGAAGGGAAGGAAAAGATGTGGTCGAAAAAAGTGTACAAGCAAGAGAGATAACCGCACCCTGGAGAGGATTGTGAAACAAAACCCATTCAAAAATGTGGGGGAGATTCACAAAGAGTGGACTGCAGCTGGAGTGAGTGTTTCAAGAACCACCACACACAGACGTATGAAAGACATGGGTTTCTGCTGTCGCATTCCTTGTGTCAAGCCACTCTTGAACCACAGACAGCGTCAGAAGCGTCTTGCCTGGGCTAAAGAGAAACAGGACTGGACTGCTGGTTAGTGGTCCAAAGTCATGTTCTCTGATGAAAGTAAATTTTGCATTTCCTTTGGAAATCAAGGTCCCAGAGTCTGGAGGAAAAGAAGAGAGGCACTTCATCCACGTTGCTTGAAGTCCAGTGTAAAGTTTCCACAGTCAGTGATGGTTTGGGGTGCCATGTCATCTGCTGGTGTTGGTCCATTGTGTTTTCTGAGGTCCAGGGTCAACGCAGCCACATACCAGGAAGTTTTAGAGCACTTCATGCTTCCTGCAGCTGACCAACTTTTTGGAGATGCAGATTTCATTTTCCAACAGGACTTGGCACCTGCACACAGTGCCAAAGCTACCAGTACCTGGTTGAAGGACCATGGTATCCCTGTTCTTAATTGGCCAGCAAACTCTCCTGACCTTAACCCCATAGAAAATCTATGGGGTATTGTGAAGAAGAAGATGCAATACACCAGACCCAACAATTCAGAAGAGCTAAAAGCCACTATTAGAGCAACCTGGGCTATCATAACACCTGAGCAGTGCCACAGACTGATCGACTCCATGCCACGCCGCATTGCTGCAGTAATACAGGCCAAAGGAGGCCCAACTAAATACTGAGTGCTGTACATGCTCATACTTTTCATGTTCATACTTTTCAGTTGGCCAACATTTCTATAAATACTTTGTTTTTATTGGTCTTCAGTAATATTCTAATTTTCTGATATGATGAATTTGAGATTTTCATTTGTTGTCATTTGTAATCATCAAAATTAAACAAAATAAACATCTGAAATATATGAGTTTGTATGTAATGTATGAATATAATATACAAGTTTCACTTTTTAAATGGAATTACTGAAATCAATCTACTTTTTCATGATATTCTAATTTTATGACCAGCACCTGTATGTTCCAACTTCTATGTTGAGGAAACATACATTATTGAAAAGTCCAAAGCAGATCAAAGCATAGACTTCTACAACCATGAAAATGCTCATCTGCCTTGTTGCCTGCTGCTCCAATATCCCTGGTAGGGAAGCGTGCAGCGTTTGTGGTTGATAAAACGGAAAGCAGAGGATATATATCCCATTTAGGAAAACTTTTTGATTCTCCAGAATAAGCAGAGCTTCATAGCCAGCTTAAAAAAAAAAATTAATATCTATCCATCCATCCATTTGAAATTTTTAGCATTTGTCTGGATTTGTTATTCCACGCTGGACAGATTCCAATAGCATCTGGTTTGATACCAGCAATGTAATAGTCAAACTACCAGTAAAAGCAAGACCCAAAAATAAAAAAGTTAAAGAATAAATTTTTATGCTTTTAAAAAAATAAAAGCTAATTTCTCCATATGTTCTTTTGCTTATCTGTCAAATACTGCTTACTAGATTTTTCATTACAGAACATTATTAGAAATCAGTTTATTTCCATTATTTTAGCTATGATGCTAAAACAATAAATCTAATAGAAATAAACCTAAATGTGTTTCAATTTTTAATTAAATCACAGAAATGCTGCAACTTCAGAATTATATTCTGCACTAAAAATCACCTGTACTAAGCTCAATATTTTAGAAATGGCTTTACACTAAAAATAAAAATGATTAAATAGACTAACATCTCATTTAAGCAAATACATTGATAAGCAGTTAGCTCTTATTTTATCCAAATTCTAAGGATCTATTTAAAAAAAAAAAATGAATTTGAAACAGAAAAAAATAAAGAAAAATGTTAATAAAAAAAAGTTAAATCTAGAATATATAAAACACAGACTGTCAAAAGAACAACTTTATTTTTTACCATTCCAAAATGCAAAGATCTCAAAACCCCAACAATCTTGATCATGTGATCTTCACAACATTTGTGCTCTGTACAAGTGTATGCATTATTCATGTGCACAAACAGTAGATGCAGTTACTCTTTTCAACCATTACTGTTGCATCCTCACTTTCATCTTGGAAGTAGTGATACTTTTTTCTTTTAGTGAACAAACACTCTACATTGCATCTAAACAACATTTCACTATATAATTAAATAAATAAGCACTTCTTAATATTGAGATATAAGTAAATAAGTGCCCTAACACTCAAGATATTTCGCCTTTTTGAAGGCAAGAAAGCAGACATGTTGGTAGCCAGTACCTTCTGACAGCGGACTGGTCCTGCACAGGCTGAGGGGGAATGGACTGGCCTGTATCTACATTTGGACCAGTCCGTGGAGGCTTTTTGATTTCCGATGCGCACAACAGAAATGGAGGAATCAGCACAGACCTATCAATCTGATCTTGCAGGACATCAACATCTAGTTGAGGATTACAGCTGGGTTCTTGTTGAGACGGGACATTTTCTGGAGTCCCAGGGCAACAAGTCTGACTGATGTCGCTGGTCTGAAGACGTGATGGATTCAGAGGAGAGAAACCGTCATAAGTGGAGCTGCAGAAATAGGGGTTTTATTAATAACATTTACTACATTTAGACCCAAATTATGCAAGAGACATCTTTAAAAATTCATAGATGTAAAGGTTTTTATTATTGGTATAATCTTTGTTTTAAATGAGCAGTCAGGTCAGGATATCCTACTATTTTATGGCTAATTTCCACCTAAAATGGTTGATTGAAACTAAATCGAATCCAAATTGATTCCATATTCCTGGAGGAGGTTTGGCCTGTCTAAAAGGCCTGTTGAAGTGAGAAATAGTGTAGTGGTGAGACCTATAGAGCTGTCTGAGCGCTTCAGAGAGACAACTGGAGAAGCTAAAAAGTAGGGAGCAAGTTAAAGGCTTTTAAATGTCTGCCGATATTGTCAACGTCTCATTCTATAAGCAAACTCACCCTAAAAGCAGGGGTCTCCAAAACCCCCACAATGTTTTTTGTCCATCATCACTAAAGTTTGACAGAAAAAACATGGACTAAGACTATGTCTTCTGGACACCAGAAGAGCAGACATGTTTTCCCATAAATGAAACACCAGGTTGCAGATAAATAACCTCATACAAAGGTGGGAGTGTCATCATTAGGGGATGCTTTCCTGCAGCAGGACCTGGGGAGCGTACCGGCAAGAAATACATCACGGCTTTGACAGTGTATTAGAATCTGTTTAAGGGCAAAACCCGAGAATGCATCATTAACAAATAACAGAGGCAGACCTGGATCCTGCTACATAAGGGACCCTAAAGACACAAATACACCTTTGATTGTCAGAGAGTGGCAGACGGCTAAAGGAATAGTCTCACTGAAGGGATGCAACACTGACTATTTGTCTAAAGGGCATCAAACTCTTTACCAATAATCCATGTTTTTGTCAATATTGCTTAAATGACCAATAAAAATTGATTCATTTTTGTTATTGAAGTTCAGTTTATGGAAATGTTATATTGAGAGATAAATTGCATCTCGTGTAGAGTCAACATATTCCCTGAGGTTTTTCGGTTTTTCATAGACAGGTCAAAGTAAGTGATTTACCTGCTGAATGATGTGCGAAGGGAAGAGGATGACGAAGAGGAAAAATATCCCGGTTGATGATTGAGTTTTTGTGGACTCTCCATGACGACATAATCCTCCTGAGATAACTCCGATAAGCTGCGGCTGACTGTCGGGGACATGATCACATACCCGAGGCCGCCTTCTTTCTCAACTGACCCCCAGCTCTGCATTGTGCAGCTTTTGGGTTCCGGCTCTGGGCTCTGCTGCTGCCTAGAAGGGCTGAGGTTTGAGCTGAAGCTCTGAGGGGATTCAGACTTGATGTCTTCTGGTTCCTGAGGTCCTCTGGGATGTTGCACAGGGCTGGATTGGTTCTCGGGGCACCTATATTGCAGAACCAGAGGTTTAAGAGATCTCACATTAGCCGGCTTGTCTCTCTGTTTGGGTCTGCAGCGTTTTGAGGCCACAACAGCCGGCTGCTGATTATAAAGGGAGGTCGGTGATCTGCTGAAGTCTGGAAGAGCTCGTAGGGCTTGTACAGCCTCCCGAACTGCGTCGTGAATCTGTTGGGCCACAGCTGGGTCTCCTAAACAATTTTTTAAAAAGAAGCTGAAGCACCAAGTTTATTTTAAAGATATGCATTTTTAATGCCTATATACCTCCGTGTCTTGCCTCCATCCAGATCTCTCCAGGGCCGTGAGGCGCCAACCTGCCAAGCTCCAAATAGAAAAAGCCATCAAGGTGTCCGAAGCGGCGAACACTTAGCAAAGGTATCGTCACTGATGGCAAGTCATTGTTAGAGCCCAGTCGGACAAAAACGAGTGTTGATGGCGTAAGGCATAGTCGGTTCTCCCCTGTGAACGGTTTGGAAGAGCCCAAACCTCTGGGCTTCACCATGACGGACCAAACCTTAGACAAAGAAGCAAAAGCCGGATGATGCAGCAGTAAACCAAGGGGAGACGTTCATGTGACCAAGAATCTGTCAAACTATGGTAGAAATGGTGGGTTTCAGTTGTTTAAATATCAGGTAATTTTGAAGGGATTTCAAATTTTTTATACATGAAAATGTTGCAAGTTGGAGCAAATGACAAAGCCAATTATTTTTTATGTAATTTTTTTGGAAGAAAACTCAATAAAGTGTTAAAGTTCACAGATAATTCAGACCTTTCATGTCAAAATGCATACAAACCAGTCTTCTCAACTAGTTAGCAGAGCTTTCAACTTTAGACATACGATATAGACTGAAGTTAGGAACATATGATTATTGGATGTAAAAACAGATCGATATAAGGAGAGATTGATGGAACAATCAGTGGATGATTGAAAGAAAAACTGATTGCTGGAAGGGTCTGCAAACTTGAAAATCTAAAGAACCTTGTTGCCCCATGTTAGACTTAGATTTATTTTGTCATTTGGTATACACAAGTGTAAATGAAAAGAAATTTCGTTTAAAACAGCTCTAGCTCTATCAATTTCATTTTTTAATTACAGCCTTGAAAATAGCAATAAATACATTTTTAAAAAATGGTAATATAAACATATGACTGTATATATACAGTTCTAACTTTGTTTTTTTGTCTCACTAAAAGACATATGTTGCGCTTATTTTTTAAATGTCTGATATAGGAACCCTGTTGCCATTTAAATCGACCAATAGTTTTTTTTCTAGCTTTTAATATTCAATTCTATTCAGTTTATTTATGTAGCACTAATTCACAACACATGTCAACTCAAGACACTTTACAGTTCACCAGAACTTACAAATTGATTTAAAGTTTTATTCTAAGTAAAACCAGTTGATTGCATCGACTCATTTAGTCAAATACAATAATCAAATCATAAATCATATTTCTAAAAAGATAAAGAGTGGATTTTTTTCATCATTAACACATGATGTAAAAACAAAATTCTAGCTAATAAGAAATTTAAATCTTTTTTTTTTTTTTTTTTTTTACATCCTTCTGTTCTATATATTTAACCAAATAGTCTTTAAAAAAATCTGTTATGCTACATTAAATGCTTCAGGCCACTATCAAGAGCCATTAAAGAAGTCTCAAGGAGCCCCTTTTGGCTCCAGAGCACGCAGGTTGCAGACCCCTAGATTGGTGGATTGATGGGTGGATTAGAAGATAAGTAAATAACTGACAGATAAACAGGTGCAACTTTCCATGCATGTTCCCCATACCTATCCAAACCTGAAACATCCCCAAATCCAGACGTTTAAACTCTGAAGAACTGTTTTTATCTCAACTATTCTCAATGAAAAACTTAGTCCCACCTCCTTAAAGAAAGCTGCTGGCGGCAGAGTGCAGTATCCATCATCCTCTTCCTCAAAACCATCTTCATGCTCCTCATCCTTCTGCTGTCCCTCCATTAGGTTCTTTATGGCCACATACCAATCATCTTGTTGCTGCTGCTCCTCCATCACCAGCACCAAGGTCTGGTCCTTGTCGTACAGTGCCACCGTGTGGCCTTTACGGGAACTCCCACTCCGACTCACACCAAGACAGCATGGCAGGTAAATGACCCTTTGAAGAGGGAATTTAATTAGTTTTATTTTAAATTGTAGAAGGTTTACCAGAATAACGCCTGCTAGCTAATCAGATTAAGTCTTTTCTACCAACCCTTGCTTGTTGGCTCCAAACAGAGAGGCCCTTCCTGTAGACTTCACTGCGGTGAATTTCTCCTGGTTCTTGTACCACTCAAGTCTGCTGGGACCGATGTGACTTCCAGTTCTCAGCGCAAAATATCTTCTGTGGCTCCGCTCCAGCTTCCCCAGGTATCCTTCTTTCACTACGTCACTCTGAGGCCCCAAAGAGGCCATTAAAGCACCGGCTAGGGGCACTAGAGACATGGGGGTCTGACTGGCACAGAACAGCTCCTCATAGAAACCAGATGAAGGCAGTTCATTTAACTGCAAACTAGGATGACTGTCCAAGGAGTCTTCATCCTCTTCCTGCTCTGTGTGGCGATTCCTCAGGTGGAAGTGTTGACGATATTCGCCAGAGTGAGCAAAGCTGCAGCGGCGGGATGACCGAGGAGTCGAAGGCCCTACAAGCTCCCTTTTGGAGGAACCATCATGACCTTCTGCCATTCTGTTGTAGTAATCTTTATAATCTGCAAAATGAACACAGAGAAATACTAAAACTAGATAAGGTTGAAGAGTCAAAGAGAAAAGGTCCTCCAATTTCTTTTTTTTCCCCTGTCATTTTTGGTTTATTGATTTAAAAAAAAAAAAAAAAAAACACTAGAGGCTTTTTAATTTTAGTCACATAACAATTAAGAAGATTTTTTCTGGTTTTTCTTCCATGAAACTTCCAGCTAGCATGTAGATCTAGACATGCAAGTAGAAGGAAGCACTTTTCCAAATAAAGGTTAGAGTAAATTCATGTAACAATGGACATTGGACAAGCAAGCTTTCAAGGGAATTAAAAAAACGAAACCCTGGAATGAAACATCTACCTAGTTGTGGTTAGTGCAAAGAAATTTTGAAATAAAATTGTAATATTGGTTGAATATATTCGCAATTTTTAATTTTTCCAAAATTGTTCAGCCCTGATCAGGACATCCTTTTAAATCAAAGATTGTCGACTGGTAGAAGCCTGGATTTTAACTTGGTCCTTTGACTTTGAAATGAAAAAAAAGAAAACTAGAAAAATTAATCACTTAAACCTACTTTGCTTCAATTCACCTTAATTTCAAGATTAATACCACTTTGGAATTAGTATGTATGTTTAGATAGATCCACTTTTTTTTTTTAACAAAAAATTGAAAACAAATTAATCCTGTTCTCTTTATTTAGACAGTGTTAGATTTTGGTTTTTAAAAAAAAAAAGAAGAAAAATTAAGATGTGTTATTTGTGTATGCTAAAACATTTACAGAGGTTTTTTTTAGCATATGCCAGGTTAAAATAGAATCTTAACATAAAAGTGCAACTTTCCATGCATGTTCCCCATACCTCTCCAAACCTGAAACATCCCCAAATCCAGACATTTAAACTCTGAAGGACTGTTTTTATCTGAACTATTCTATATGAAAAACTTATTATAAGCTTTGATTTTTTACTTTGAAGAAAAAATGTTTGATAGAAGATAGTAACTTGACTAATTTTATTTAGATATGTTAAAGTTTAGATGTAAATTATGAGGTTTTTATGAGACTGGACGTCATTCTGATCCCTTTGGGGTTAATTACTTTACCTGGCAATGATAATACTACGCCTGATATTTCTGCAATCGTAGCAGTCTAAAATAACAAGGGCATAATAAATAAAGGTAAATCTATAGAAATAATGAGGCATTTTTTTAGTTTTGTCATAAATTTTAAAAATTCTTCAGGGACTTTATAATGAAAAAAATCTTTTTTTTTTTAATTTGTAGAAAATATAGTTAGTTTTAGTATATTTGGAAAAATAATAATTATAAAAAGAGGTGTCTAGTTTCTTACTTTCAGCTGTATGACTAGTTAGGCATCATTAGTTTAATTGTTTTATTTACTTCACTACCCACTTTTATCATTTTATCTTTAGGCATACTTGCTTTTATCCTGCTTTTTTCTTCTTCTATTATATTGTTTGCTATTTCTGTTGCTATAAATAAACTTGCCTTTGTAGAAATAAAGGAGACTTGCATCTCCATCACATTATTAAGGCTTTTCCTGTAGCATTTCCTTTAAATTAGAAGTTTAAAAGTTTGTTTTTCATGCTTTTATGCATACAACCCAGGATAAGAAAACCAGTTCAAAGGTTTGGTTGCAGGTTTCAAAAGGTTCCCATTTCCCTCATATTTTACATAACACAAATGTTTTAGTATTATAACTAAACTGATACGATTTTAAACTTTTCTACCTCACTTTTTTTTTTCTTTTTTGTTTTTGTACATTCCAACAAAATTTTTTTTGTGTTGGAGGTCCCTGAATAGGTTGATTATGAAATAAAAAAATAATTAAATGCAATTATATTTATAAATCGTGCAGACATAGAGCGATAACAACTGTCTGTAAAAGAGAAAAAGGAAAATGCTTGAGAAACTTTAGTTTGGTGCTCCAACTTCTGTCATTTCCCTTAATCAGTAAAACTTCTACCAAGCTGTTTCCAAAATCACCAGCAGCCAAAAAGTTTTAACAGGTGAGCAAAAACATACCTGAAAGTGACAGAAGTCAACATTACATCAAAAAAAAAAAAAAGGGTTTTGAAATAGTCTTTCTCTCACAAACGCCGTAAAAATTAAAGCAACGCGCTATTTTCAAACTAATTCTTAGGAATGATGCAGTTTGTGCGCCTCGCATGTGCAATCCGTGCCAATCACCGTGTGGCCTTCAGGAGCGCCTCGTAAACACAACAACTTAGTAAGAAATTATACTTGTAGGGGAAAATCCCTTATTTAAACGGTTAGAAACAAATTGAAATAAACCCTTCCTCTCTCGATTGTAGTACGTCTCAAACCTTTTACCTTTAAAGTTTAAGTATTAACATATTTAAAGGTAAATAGAATAACTTTTCAACAGAATATTAATGGTGAAGCGTTATTTCTTTAAATAAGGCAAAAATACCGGAAGTAATTTATGTGTAAGGGCATTGTTTTAAATAAGTTGAAATAGTTTGCTTAATCAGGAGTTTGATTATTACTCAGAAGTTTAAATTTACACATTTCAGGTTAGGAAAATGTTTTTAAATGTCCACAGAATTTGAAACCTGGAGCAGATAATTACATGTATTACTAACTAAAACCTTAAAATCCAACGTTAGGGCTACTACATTGATATAAACACAGGTGATAGCCACATTTTTAGAAAAAAATGTATTTTAAGAAAATGTGACTTTATTACATTGCCTAATGGCATTACCCCCGACTTTATTTGGCCCACTAATTACATTTTTAATAAAATATAGACCCAATCAGCTGATCACATGACAGTTATTGTATTTAAGCTTCTGTTCTGTTCTGTTCATCCAAACTGGACTTTAACCTTTGACTTGAAGTGATTGTTTGATTCATCGGTGTGAGGGAAATTCTTGAAAATACTTTGTGCTTCTTAGCAGCTGAGAATCCCTTAAACACATTGAACATCTGTATTGTTGATGCATTTTTTCCAGTAGGATGAAAAAACAGGCCCCAGATCTCAATCCAACAGAGCACCTTAGGGATTCGATGGAAAAGGAAAATCCAATCGTAGATTTAATGTTTGCAAATCTGCAGGATGTGAGTGCCACAAAGAATGAAGGCTGTTCTTAAAGCTATAGTGGATGATTCTCTAGAATGTTTTGAAAAGACCCACCCCCTCCACTTAAAAAAATATATATATATCATGCACAACCCTGTACCCGCTCCCGAGAAGGAGGTAAATGAACCCAAACCAAACTGAATGCAAAGCAAAGCAAAAAAAAAAAAGAAAAGAAAAGAAAAGAAAAAAAACTAATAAAGCTTTTTCTTATTTGTTTTTATCAGGAAAAACCTGTGTATGGTTTACCCAGGAAAGCCGATAAAAGAATCTACTTTTGTTTGTCCAAATGAAAAGTTTTTGCTTATCATGTCTGTTGCCTCAGCACATCACTGACTATTTTAACTGCTTTCCTGTATGAAGTAATCAACCAAAGGGTGGAGACATCCTGGGATGCATAATCAACAACTAATGCAATGATTTACAATACGTTATCTTGTAATACTTTCAGGAAAATAAGAAACAGAAGGGGCAAAATAATTATATTTGATGTTTGCTAGTTAAGGGCAGGAGCAGGTGATACGAGAGAGGGGTTACTAAGGGCTTTAGGGGGTAAAGCTATAAGCTGGGAAATAAGAAAATCTGAAATCCAAACTGTTCTAAATATAATTTTAATGAGAAGCTTCACATTATGTATCTCTTTTGCATGTCCAGTGACTGAATCTGGCCTTTCTATAGTTTTCTCTTTGAGCATATTCTGCAGTATCTAACAGCCCTTCTTACTCTATGTGAAGCACAATCCAGTGCTGAACAGCTTCTCTGTCCCTGATAATGAAACGCACCCCCACAGCATGATGCTTCCACCTTTATGTTTCACCACAGAGATGGTCTATTTCAAGGGCATCTAACTTGTTAGTTTTTCACATTGAGCAAAATGTTACATTTCAGTTTCATCTGACTAAAGCACCTTCCATGTGTTCACTAAATTATGCACTTCTTTGTTTGAATAAAATCACTTTATGATTTAAATGTTTTTTTTTTAACATGCTACATTTTGCAGAGCATCTTTCAACTATTAAGTCCATTTTGACATGAAATCTTATTAAATGAAAATGGTGAAAACAGACAAAGGAAGTGGGGTCAGAACCATTACAGCAACTCTTATGAAATAAGTGCAACAGTGCATGAAGAGGGTTACATTTCTGCGCGTTTCAACATTAACAACAACAGCCTGTCCCGGGTTATACGGGAGATATTCATTCTAATCCTGGTTCCCACCATGGCTCTCCTTCCCAGTGTCATTTTGCAGGTGTTCAGCTGGAATGGGCTTATTCTCCTCCTGCAGTTGGTGAGGAATGGACTGGCGGCCATTGTTGGAGTCTGGACGGTGAGGCTGCTGGCTCGTCACGTTTGGTACACTCATAGATTGGGCCGCTTCAACAAGCCACAGACACATTCGTGGCTGATAGGTCACCTTGGCCAGGTAAGGTCTAAATGTAGCTTTAGTTGCATGCTTTTATTTTCAAATCTGCAGCTAACACAAATATATTGACACCTCAGATGCAGAGCTCAGAAGAGGGTCTCCAACAGGTGGATGAATTGGTGCAGACCTACAAGCACTCCTGCTGCTGGTTCCTCGGACCTTTCTATCACCTGGTCAGAGTCTTCCATCCCAACTACGTGAAGCCCCTTCTGATGGCCTCTGGTAGGTACAAAAAAAGTGAGATTATTTCCCAAGGTTTCAAAACAAACACTGATACTCTTGTTCCGTCGCACCTTCGCTGAAGCCAACATCACGGTGAAGGATGAGTTGATCTACGGCCATCTGCGTCCATGGCTGGGTGAGGCAGATCATTTTGGTTATTCTTTTTCTGTTTTGTAGGCCACTTAATTTGCAACTCTTAATTTAGTTCAACCTGCTGCTTTTTGACACAGGAAACAGTTTGTTGATTAGCAGCAAAGACGAATGGTTTCGCAAGAGGCGGCTGTTGACTCCAGCTTTTCATTTCGACATCCTTAAAAACTACATTGTGACATTTAACTCCTCGACTAACACCATGCTGGTAAGGAAACTCGCTTTTGCATGAAACTACTCAAAAAATATGTCTGATTTTGAATTTCCATGATCTTTGGTGACTCTTCGAATAGCTGCAGTAATCATTTCTCCATAACATCTACATGTAGTTGTTAGAAAATCTTCAGGACAAATTACATTTGCAGAAAATAAAAAAGGTGTAGTGGAGGATGTTCTTTTTCCGGGTGGAGCTCCTAATTGTCAATCATTCTGGTGATATTTTTACATTTATATGCTCATCGCCATTTTCACTTACCAGCAGTGAGTCTGACATAGTGGAAAAATTGCAAATCTTCTTTTGTAAAGTAAGCTTGTATGAGTGATGCAAAAAGCAACTTTTAAACAGAGCGTGCACAAGGAGAAATGGGCTTGTGCACGCTGTCACACACGCTTAATAGGCGTACCCTCTCGGGAGCCGATACAGGTTTGTGCATTTTGTTTTTAAAGTGAAGAGGGTGGAGCTTTTTAAAAATTTGTGAAAATCCTCCACTATACTTTCAAAGTAAAACACCCCTAACTGGTTTAGAAACTTAAAAAGTCATTGAGAAGAATAGTTATGTGTTTTTTGTTTGTTTTTTGAGTTGTTTTTTGAGTTGTTAAAAAAAGAATCAAAAATTTAATTAAGTGTTTTATGTCAGTTTACAGTTTGTTTCAGAAACAATAATCTCATATTTACATATCTGCATGTTCACCTGATGAGATCAATTTATTAGTAGCCTAGACTCGAGTGGAGTGGCTTTGACTACTGCTGAGTGGGACAACTGTGAGAGGACTCGGCAGCATGTGATTGGACAATGGAGGGCTTTTTATTATTTAGTTGTTTTTGCATACAAAACACAAGGACCAACAGATAACATCACCCCAGTGATATGTACTAATTGAAAAAAAAAAAAAAAAATGCCATCCCTGTCTGTCATCCCCTTTGTTTAATGCACCAGTATTACCCATATTATGATACTGCCACCATCATGCTCAAAAATTAGTGCAAAGTTCTTAGGTCTAAAGCCTCCACTAGATGCCTTCCAACAATTTCCTCCACATTTGGCCCAAACGGGTTGAGTTCCTCTTGTCTGGCCATAAAACTTTCTTCCTGAGGGTATCAGGTTCATCCATGTGGGAAGCTGCTATAACCCAACATGCTAGAAGGAGTCACTTTTGGAGCAGAGGGTTTTTCTTAGTCTGCTTTCTATGTGCCCTTACTTGAATCAGTATAAAAGATCACAATTTGAACTTTTGAAGAAAAAAAATGTTTTTTGTATTTTATTCTCTTTGTTTGTTTTGTCACATTTTAATATCAGCGTACAAACTTCCCCATTTCTGCAACAAAAAGACCACTACTAATTATGGGATACATTAGAAAAGCATTTAACGTTCAAAACTCTGATGCCTTCTCCATGTCCCCTTATTTAATGTCCAGAATAAATGGCAGCGGCTGGTGGCAGAAGGGACAACCAACATAGAATTGTTTGACCATGTCACTCTGATGACACTGGACAGCTTATTAAAGTGCGCCTTCAGCTACCAGAGCAACTGTCAGGAGTAAGCACTATTTTGATTAAAACTTCCTGTTTCTGCTCTTTATTTAGACTCTAAATAAGCACATCTGTTTTTATTTTTAGGTCCAGCAGTGAGTATGTTTCTGCCATTGTAGAGCTCAGCGACCTGGTGATAGATCGGCGCTTTCGCATTTTACACCACTGGGACTGTATCTACTGGAAAACTCAGCAAGGAAAGAGATTTAAACAAGCATTAGGTGTGGTACAGAGGTAATTTCACAATTTCATGTGTGCTTTTATGATTTATATCAGTTTGATGTACATTTTCCTTCAAATTATACAGCTGAAATTCTATTTACAGTATTTATTTAAAAAAAAATTATATGCTAAAATAGCTAAAGATCACCACAATCTATTACAATATCTACTATATCTTATCACTAATATTCAATTCTATATTTCCTTATGTATTTTAAGTTTATATGGGCACAAAATGTTGTAAATCTTGCAGGTTCACCAGGGATGTTGTGCAGAAGCGCCGTGCTCTTATTGCCCAGCAGGGGGAGACAGAGACACAAACGAACGCAGCCCCACAGAAAAAGAAAGATTTCGTGGACATCATACTTCTGTCAAAGGTGAGCTGCATTGTCATAAAAAAAAAAAAATAATGATGATAATAATACGTGGATTTGTTTTATATTAATACAGGATGAAGACGGACAAGGACTCACAGATGAGGAAATACAGGCCGAAGCCAACACGTTCATGTTTGCAGGTACGTTGGCTACACAGCGCCATCTGTGGTCAAACGTGTGAACTACAAAAACAAAGCCTCAGCAGCCTAAATCACCATGAAATAAAATAAGATTAGATCATATTTCTTTAATAAAAAATTAGGAAATTTAAATGTTCTCTCCTTATTTTTTCTGGATCCTCATCATAAAGCTGAAGTTTTCCAAAGAAAGCAGGAGAATTAAACACAGACATTGATTGTTATTAATGCAGAAGCTTAAAAAAAGCTTATAAAATCAGCTGCATGGCTGTTCAGTTCTCAACATTGTTGACTTGCATGGTAGGAAGAAAGTCCTTGATCTGATTCCCAGCTTAGGTTTTTTTTTACCTTGCATGCATTTTGCATGTTCTCCATGAACAAACATGGATACACTCCAGGTACTCCCTCTTCTTCTGACAGTCTACAACTATGACTGTTTGGTTTATTGGCAACTCTAACTTGCACTCAGGATGGATTCCATAATGAACCTAGAGATATAAGCACAACTAATTTAGCAAAATGTAGTTCCTGTTAAATTGGTTAAAGAAAATAAACAAAAAAATAACCAACTGAAGGTTATGGTTGCAAAATTGACATTTTTTTCTTATTTTCTTCAGTCAAAATAAAAAGTTCTTTCTCTAAAACAGAGTTTAAACCTTAACTTTCTGATTCGGAGGATTTGTTATCAGAAATTAAACACTCAGAGGAGCTAAAAAGGAGCTAAAAAGACTCATTGCTAAACAGATTTCTAGGGGGGAAAAAGGATTGTTCTTCAATTGTTTATGCTGGTCTAAATTCAATTAGTCTTCTTTTTCTCCCCGCAGGACATGATACGACAGCAAGTGCGATATGCTGGACGCTCTACAATTTAGCTCGACATCCACACTATCAGGAAAAATGCAGGCAGGAAGTTATGGAGCTGATGGATGGACGGAACGGGGATGAAATAGAGTGGTTAGAAAATGCACACAGTAAACATCCAGCTGATCTAATTGTTTTTTTTTAGAGGGGATTAGTTTAAAAAAGCTTTATGAAGAGCAAGAAGCACAGCAGACAGATCAGGGAGAAAGTTTTTGAGATGCTTTAAGGCATTCTCCAAATTTTAAAACGTCTCATGAAGAACTTTTAATTCTATCATCTGAAAAGAGCAGAAGATTCAAAGTTAGGAAGATGTTTTTCTTCAGCAGGGGTAGAGAAGCAGTTTATGAATGACAAATAGATGAAGGTAAATAAATAAAACCTTCTAGATTAGAAAGATGTGAAACTAGGGCATAATTCAGGGGGTATACATGTTTTTCTAAGACATTATTATCATTTTTAGGAATGTTTGTATTGATTTACTTTTTCTCTTAAAGGGAAGATCTGTCCAACCTTTCTTTTACCACCATGTGCATCAAAGAAAGCCTCAGACTCCACCCTCCAGTCCAGGCTGTAACGAGGAAATACACCCAGGACATGACACTGCCAGGAGATCTAACGGTACCAGAGGGTGAGATGCTGGGAGCTTTTTACAACCTCTGCTCAATTTGAACAAGTTAGTAAATAAGACATGATTTATAACTGTCTTTGTTTGTTGGTTTTTTGCCTTAAAGGTGTAATCTGTTTGGTTAGCCTTTATGGGACACACCACAACCCTGAAGTTTGGAGTAACCCACATGTAAGACATTCTAAAAATATATACAATATATACAAAAAAAATTCTTGTTCTCTAATTTGATTTATAAATATATGCTTTAAAGGAGTTTGATCCTCTGCGTTTTGACCCAGCCAACATAAAGAGTCACTCTTCTCATGGCTTCATCCCCTTCTCCTCAGGCCCCAGGTTTGTTTTTCTCACTTAAAAAAAAGAAGATGCAGAATAACTGAATATATAAATCGTATCAATTTCCGTTCACAGGAACTGCATTGGGCAGAAATTCGCCATGGCTGAGCTTCGAGTCGTCTTAGCTTTAACCCTGCTGAAGTTTCGTCTGACCTTGGGTGTTAACCCTGAATGCAGTAGCAGCTCGGGGACAGTGCGACGTCTCCCCCAACTTGTCCTGCGTGCGGAAGGAGGCCTGTGGATGCAGCTGGAACCTCTGAAGGAATCATGTTTTAGGGAACCTCCAAACAAATGAGCTATATACATTTTTTTTTTTTTTTTGTCTCATTGAAACACATAGATACGATGTAAGATTGCTCATTTGACTTTAGCCAAATGCTCTGCTTCAGTTTAATTCTAGGCTAAAAAATATGTTTGTAATTGTGAATGCAAGATTTACATTAAAAATATATATATTTATATACATATATATACATATATATTTATTTATATATGTATATATATACATATACATGATCACTGCTTCAAATATTTTAAAAGGGAAATGCTTGTTTTAATAAATAAAGGATCAAGAAAGTCATTTGTAAAGATTTGTATTAATCAACAAAATAATACATTAACCAAATAATCATCATTGCATTTAATCGGGCCAAGATTTAATAAATGATAATAAAAGATAAGTCAGCTTGACATCAATGTCAAGAAAGTTATTTGCAAAGATTTGTTTTAATCAACGAATTAAATGGACAACTTACATTAAAAAATATATTTTTGCATCACATTAATTAATGTACATTTTCAAATGATCATCTTTGCATTTAATTGGGCCAAGTTTAATAAATATATTGATATAATTTAAAAACATTCTATTTTGCCCTCTTTTATCTTCTTTTTTGCAAAGCAAGTCAACCTCCTCCGTCTTTATCTATTTTATATTAACTACTTACATAAATAGTTATTTAACATTTTTATTTCTATTTCTTTGTCTGCTTATGAACGTCGATAATTCACATACGACGTTGACGTCAGACCTGACTGCATTACCAATCTTTGAACACTAGATGGCGGAAAAATGCCTTCTGTGATAAAAAAAAAAAATAATCTATGTTCGACCATCCTTAATCATGTTTTAACGGGAAAATAAACCTTTTTTGTAACGTTAAAACAGGCGTCGTCGAGTTTTTATTTGACAATAGGTCTGCTTCACATCAATGCATTTATATTTCATACATATATCCTGTAGGCGGGACTTCGAGCCTTCTCATAGGCAACTCCCTTTTTTCCTAGTTTCACTTTACTGAGTCTCCAAACGGCCATTTGCATCGCGTCTCTCCATAAAAACCGTGCAGTAGGGTGTTAACTGTAAATTAAAATGCTTTTTAACATTTTTTGTAATGTAGCATGACATGTTGCTTTGGATCGTAGACGGCACTTGAACACTTCCTCGTTTTTAACCCTCAAAAACTAACGCCATGACCTCCTTCTCTCCAATCCAAACTCTTTTGGCCCCTGGGTTGCTTGTCCTTTTCCTGTCCGTCCGTCTGGATGCAGGTGAGTTCAGATCCCCTCCTAGTGTGCAGTTAACATTGTTGCATGTTATAGAATACAATTCTAAAAAAAAATTGATAAATAAATAAACAAAATGGAGAAAACGTGGTGAAGCAAATAAGAGGAAATGGTTGCCTATTAAAGTTGAAATGCCAAAGTGATTATAGGATAGGATAGAGGGAAAATCCTTATAGGGAGTTTTTAAATTCATTTTAAAAAGCTGTAGCTAAAGGAATCAGGATCCATGAAAATTATATTTAATTTAACAGGGAGAAAAAATATAGTAGGCAGAGGGTTTGATGTCCTGGATTACTATTCCACCACCACTATTGACCTCTTTCTGACTTTAGTGCTTCTACATACTAGGATAACAGTCATAATTCTGTAAATATTATTTTCTTCCATTTATACTGACTTATCACCAATGGTGTAACTATCCGGTAGCAGAGACTGCAGTTGCTTAGGGGCCCCTGGCCTCTTAGGGGCCCCTTCACTGACACCTGGCGGACCCCTACGCAATTATGGACTAGGAAGTCTCTTTGCAGATGTAATGGTGCGAAAAATTCCTATTAAACCCACCTGAGGCTAGATTGACTGACCGGACCATGTTTATACTCCCACACATGGCAGATTTTAACATGATGATGAGCCGTTTAAACACAACACCAATAGAAAAGGCTGTTGTACTTCATATGGGGCCCACCCAGATAATGTTGCTTACGGGCCTCGGGAAGTAAAATGTTTGTGTCAAGGTCAAAGGAAGTCCAACACAATGGCCAAATGAATCATTAGGATGTAGAGTTTGAATGTAATCCCTGTGTGTCTGAGATCTACTTTCCAGCTCATTCTCAGGGGTGCAAGATGGAAGGCACTATGAAGGATCCTGATCAGATCCCTGATCGGCCTTAACTGCCACCTGATGGTGGGTTCTGATCCAGTGAGGTTATAGTGGAAGTGTCTGGCAGAGTTTTTCCACTGGAGAACCTTTAGCTATAGAGACAACTAACATCACCATTTTAAACACAAACACAGCTCTCTCAAGGGGAATATGACACTATATGGGGGCAGGTTGGACACAAGTGTTTAGGCAACTAGCTGTTCCTTTTAATGGAAGCTCTAAATATTGTGGAACTAAACAAGAACTTTATTCTGATATTGACAGTTTTTATTTTCTCATTTTCAGAGATTTATTTTATTTTTTTAAATTAACAGTAAAGTAAGAGCAATCATTTATTCTTGTTGAAGTGTGACAGGTAAAAAAAGACTGTACTCTTGTCCATTTTCAGATCACAGTGTATGCAACAGAGCTAACATGGAGAAGGTTGTTGAGGTCAGATTAGACCAGAACTGGACAAGTAGGTGCAGGAAAGCTGGTTGGAGCTGATGGGGAAAATGGATTGAGATTAAGACACTATAGGAGCCAAAGTGGACTGAATGATATTTTTATTTGTAAGAGGCTCATATTTACTTTTATTGTGTTTATATGTTCAGTTTTATTCAGCCGAGAGCCTGATTTCAGTAAAAGGTACAATTATTTTTTGCTGTTTTATTCGATATATTATAATATAAGTATAAGGAAAGGTTTTATTTAGACTTGTATTAGTATATTATTGTTTTTTCTGCCTTTTTTAATAGGCCTGCGTTCTGTCCTCACAGGTTTTTTCGGCAGCGTTTGTATTTCCGGGTCAGTGCGCCGGAAGTAAAGAATAGCCACGGAGGCTAACAGTTTTTGTACCGTAGCTGTAGCCGTTTTTATAAGTTTATTAAGGCATTATCAGCCGACTAAGGATTGTTTTCTACCGTGAATTAACCTTGGATCACTCCTGTAACGGAACAGCCCTGTGGAACTAAATAAATGTTCGTCTAACGTTCTTTACAACGGAGTACTGTGGAGTTATTCACGGCTAACAACTAGCCGCTACGGCGCGAGTAGCATCAACAACGTCTCCTTTACCTTCGGCCCTCACATTAGTACAAAAACTAAGCTTCAAAAGGATTCTACACGGACCACACGGACTACTGGAAGGAAAGAAAACCAGTTTGTGAGTAACGAAAATAAACTAGGCGGACGTTAAGGCCGGTTACAGCTGTGGTAAGGCTGCCGGTTTCCTGTGCTAACAACTGCTAACTGTAGACGGCGCTAAGCTAGCGCTAGCTAGCTAGCTTGGCTTTTGTGAGTGACTGTGAAGGCTGTGAAGGATCAGTCGGACTTTCTGTGAGTTGTGGCCATTATTAGGCCAGCAATGGGCTTTCAGTGACTGTTATTATTACCACATACAATTAATATGAGCCAAACAGAAAAATCAAACACAGCGTTGGAGTTTACTGAACCTAGACAGGTTAAGATGACAGGAAAGGCCCTAGAAGAGAAAATTCGGGCTGCCATAAATAAAAGGAAAGCTAAGCTAAGCCAGCTGACAAGCAAAATGAACAATATTATTCAGCTAATGGATGATGGAGATGACAGCAATTTGTCAGTTATTCAGAATACTCTGATGGCTGAATTCAACAAGCTGCTGGGAGAATTTTGTGAGCTAAACATCTCAGTTCAGGCTCTATTGAGTGAGACATCGGGTGATCGGTTAAAGGCTGATCAGGATGGATGGTTTACACCCAAGGCAGACATGTTTTACAACTTCACTCTTAAGACTGAGACGTGGATGAGTGAAGTGCAACAGCGTATTGCTGAGGCTGAAAGAGCCAACGAAGAAGTTGCACCTGAAGACAGTGCATCTGTCACTACTGTAAAGATAAATAAAGGAGTTAAAACACCATCCTCAATCCTTTCCAGAGCTTCGTCATCAGCATCATCAGCTCGACTGAAAGCTGAATTAGAGAGAGCCGAGCTACAAGCTCAAGCTTCTGCTTTAAAACAGAAAAGACTTTTAGATGAACAAGAGGCTAAGCTAAAGGCAGATAGAGAAGAGCTACAAATCCAGACTGCTTTAGCTGCCTCAAATGCCAAGTTCAGAGTACTAGATGAGCTAGAGGGTCTGCGAACTTCATCTAGAGTGAGCCAGGAAGATGGAATGAACCTCTATTTAAAGAAAGCACAGCCTACTCTTCCTGCTGCGGTTAAAACAGAGCCCCCTAGCAACATCACCTACCGTACTCCTGCTAACGTCATTCAAAGAGAACAGGAGACTCCGCAACGAGAACCGACACAAGCCATCGTGGACTTTCTAGTGAAACAACAGAACCTCACTACACTACCTCCTCAAAAAATTCCTATATTCCGAGGGGACCCTCTGGAGTACAGGCTATTTATCAGAGCCTTCGAACATGGAGTGGAGGATAAGACAGATAATGACAAAGATCGGCTGTACTTCATGGAGCAGTATACAGATGGACAGCCCAGAGAGCTAATAAGAAGTTGTCTCCACATGGAACCAACACGTGGTTACCGCAAAGCGAAGAAGCTCTTAAAGGAGCATTATGGAAATGGATATAAGGTTTCTATGGCTTACATTGACAAGGCACTGAACTGGCCGGCCATAAAGCCGGATGATGGAGAGGGGCTTCACTCTTTTGGCCTCTTCCTCACTGGATGCCTCAATGCTATGGATGACTTGGAGTATATGGAAGAGCTCGACAGCGTGTCCAACATGCGAGCTATTGCTGCCAAGCTTCCATATAAGCACAGAGAAAGATGGAGGAGCAAAGCCTACGCTCTTCTAGAAAATGAACAGTGCAGAGCCAAGTTCAGCGACCTTGTAGACTTTGTTAACCTGCTAGCCAAAGAAGCCTTGCACCCTATTTTTGGCCACATCACTGATGGAAATAGGGGCCAAGATAAGGCTCACAAGGATGAGAGGTCTATTAGAAGGATTGGTGTTCGAAGAAGCTTTACTACTGCGACTACAGGAGTTACAAACCTAGCAGAGACTAAGACCCAGGCTAAGGGGAGCTCTTTCAGCGCTTTCACCAACCCCTGCCTCTTCTGCCAAGGAGAACAGCACACCATGGAGAACTGTAAGAGAATGAGAAGGTCCCTTCACATTGAGAAAATAGACTTTCTGAAGAAGCATGGACTATGTTTTAGTTGTCTGAAACAGGGACATATGGCTAAGGCCTCCAATGAAAGGATGAGCTGTCAAATATGCAAGCTCTTTCACCCAACAGTTCTGCATATGAAGAGCAAAGATCACAAAACATCTGGTGAAGTAAAGCCTAAGAAAGACTCATCTCATGATGCAACTAAAGAAACACATCTCAAGGTTGAGGCTACAGAAGAGGTCAGTTCAGTAGTCAGCGGATGTATCAGTGCAGAGACTAGTACCTGCAGAGCTACTGGGGCCGGCAATACGAATGGCATTCTACCTATCGTCCCAGTCCACGTTAAGGCCAAGAAAGGTAACAAGGTTATTGCTACTTATGCTTTCCTTGACCCAGGTAGCAACGTTACCTTCTGCACTGAAAGACTGATGGCCTCGCTGAACATCACCGGCAGAAAGGCCAGTATCCTGCTGAAAACTATGGGAGGTGAGCAGATCGTGACCAGCCAGGTGGTGTCTGGCTTGGAAATCAGCTGCATGGATAATGATGAATATCTGGAGCTGCCCAACGTCTACTCCCAGAAGGAGATTCCCGCTCATAAGCAGAACATCCCACTCCAAGAGGAGGTGAATAAGTGGCCTCATCTCAGGCAAGTAAAGATTCCAAAGATCCACGCAGAAGTTGGCCTCCTCATCGGAACGGATGTGCCCAAGGCTATGGAGCCATGGCATGTGATACCCAGCGTGGAAGATGGGCCGTATGCGGTGAAAACACGACTGGGCTGGATCGTTAACGGGCCCCTCCGAGGAAGCAGTGGCGGTGAAACTACAACCGGACTCATACAGGTCACCTCCAACCGCACAACAGTGGTCACCCTGGATGAGCTGTGGAGTCAGCAGTTTAGGAACGACTTCCCAGAGTGCCAAGATGAGAGACTGGCGATGTCTAGGGAGGACATCCAGTTTCTGGAGATGGTTTCTCAGTCAGCTAGACTTACAGAGGGTCAC